AAAAAAAAGATATTTAAGAATAACAATAACAATTTATTTTCTGTAATTGCCAAAGTAGAACACCCAATAGTCTAACTAGTATATATGAACAAGATGGAACATTAAAAAGCAAGGAAAAAACCTCACTTACTTGACATTTCTGACGCAACTGTCGTAGTTCTTTTATAACTGGGGCTAGAGCTGACTTCTTTTCAGATACCAGGGAATTCAGTTTTTTTACCTGCCATTTAACAAAAATTATGATGTCTTAAAAGCGATTCAAAAGAGAAAATATTACATGAATAAAAATACTTATTGTAGTGTTAAAGAGCAAAAAAACCTATTAAGTTACTTCAGTGCCAAGGGGGTGTCTTTTTGAAACGGTCTTGCTATGCAGTTCAGGCTGGCCTTAGGCTCATTTTGTAGCCCGGCTGGTCTCGAACTCACAAGAATCCTCCTGCCTCAGACTCCTGAGTGCTGGGATTACACCACAGTGCCACCATGCCCACCACAGACTTGGTAAACTTTTATTCTTCATCAAGACAGAATATCATTTACCAAAATGCTTTTAAAATTTCAATTATCAAGACTGTAAACCGGAGCTTACAAAAACAAAAACAAGTGGATTCAAGGCAAGGCTGAACTGTATAGTGAAACTCTGTCACAAAAAAAGGCTATAGAAACTTATTATTTAGTATAGAAGAGAACTTCAGGCCCCTGTTCATCCTTATGATTGGTATTCTAATAGGTAACTACTTACAGCATTCAGATTATTAAGTACTGTGACTATCACTTGATCTATACTGACATATATTTTGCATGGCCTTCATGACTATCTACTCCCTGTAGATCCTATAGACCCTATACTAAAAAAATATAAATAAATAAAAGTATAAACTACTAGAAGTTGAACAATCTTATTAGAATGGAAAAATTCAAAAGACATTGATTAAAACAGATTAAAGAACAGAAGCCTTGTGCAGAGAAGAAATTTGAATGTTTCCCTCAAAACACAAAAAAACCTGCCTCCAAGCAGATGGCATGCATGGTGGCACACGCCGGGAGGCTGAGGCAGGAGGATCATTGAGAGTTTGGAAAAAAAATAGAATTTGAGACCACTCTGGGCTACAAAGTGAGCTCAAGAACCAGCCTGAACTACATAGTGAGAACCAGTCTCAAACGTACCAAAAAAAAAAAAGGCCAGGGAGATAGCTCAGTGGCACAAACACCTGCCTGGCAAACCCAAGGTCCTCAGTTCAATCCCTGGGACAAAAACAAAAACAAAAACAAAAAAGTGCCTCTGAGCACTAGAAGACAGTAAGGAAACTGGAGGCAGCACAGTCACCATGTCAGACATGTCATCCAGCGTTCGTCCCTTCAGCTCGTCGACCTCACTCTTCAGCGCTGACACCCTTTCCAGCTCTTCTTGCGTGTAACTATATCCAGATACACCCCTTTTCTCCTCCATGGCTTGCTGTAAATCAGAAATAAAAGCCACAGACAGTATCAACATCCTGTTGGTTCCCATTAAAGGCATGCAGACTTCATATTTACAAAGATATTGTTAATAAATTTCTTTAGAATTGTAAAGGAAAATTCTCATTGACTTCAAATACCGCCCATTCAATTACACGCCTTCCTAGGTCACAAACTTACATTAGATTTCACTGCTATCCTCAGGTGCATAGAAAGTATTTCTAGTTTCAGGCATTAGATTAATGCTACACACTTAGCACAGAACATAAAGCACAGGATGCACCCAATAAGCATTTTGTGAAGGGCTGGTGAGACAGTTCAGTAGACTAAGTGCCTGCTCAGGCAAGCGCAGGGACCAACTTCGATCCTGGCAGCACATGCAGCGCTGGTCCCACGCCCAGGCGTGCTGAGCGGGGCAGAGACCCAGCGTGGTGGCGCGCACTTGTAATCCCAGTGCTGGGGAGGCTGAAAATGGGAGGATCACTACGAGTCCAAGCTGCATAGTGAGACCCTGTATCAAATACACTTAAAAAAGAAATATTTTGTGAATCTGAAACTCATGCAATAATTACTATATACTTACTGTACCACACATACTTCCAGGCACCAAGATACAGTAGTTAAGAAGAAAGAAAAGAAAAAACAACTTTTCCCTCCCAGTTTACTTCTACTGGGAATGAATAAGAAACATAAATAAGCACAATACACAGAGTGCGAGGGGAGAATGAGCTGGAATCTTCAAGCTTCACATAGTAGCAAACGGTCTCTCTGTAGTGCCCAGGAGTGGAGGCTGAGGGAGTCAGGAGCACGCTCCACATGGGTTGGAAAGAAATGTTAGCTTGGGAAAGAACCAGGGGTGCAGCTTCCGAGGAGCCCAGTGAAGGAGCATTTTATGGGAAGAGGGAGAGGAGCTAAACGCTGTGAAAAGGTTGCGTAAGGAAAGGACTGAGGGAGACGACCCAGCCACGGGATCCTGAACAGACCCAGAGTGCAGACCTGGCGAGTGAGTGAGACGACCGGCCCGGCGGGATCCTGAACAGACCCAGAGCACAGGCCCAGCACGGAACCCTTCAGCAGAACTCCCTGCAAAGAGGCTAGAGGCAAGACCCACCCAGCTGATTCAGGAG